GCCTGGGTGGCTCAGTCGGTTGGGCCGCCAACTTCGGCTCAGGTCATGATCTCACGGCTTGTGGGTTTGAGCCCTGTGTTGGGGTCTGTGCTGACAGCTAGCTCAGAGTCTGGAGCCTGTTTTGGATTCTGTGTCTCCCTCTCTCTCTGACCTTCCCCTTCTCACGCTGTCTCTCTCTCTCAGAAAAAAAAAAAAAAACCCAAGTAAAAACAAGTAAAACCCTGAAGTGTAGACAGGTGAGGCCTCTCTTCCTGGCTTACAGGTAGCTCCCTGCTCACCGTGTCCTCATGTGGCCTTTCCTCTCTGCTTGCACGTGGAGAGAGAGCTCTGGCATCTTTTCTAAGGACACCAGGCCTATCAGACAAGGGCACCACACTTATGATCTCATTTAACTTTAATTACTTCCTTAAAAGCCTTATCTCCAAACCTGTTCTGTTCTAGGACCTTGGGGCTTCAACATCTGAGTTTGGGGGAATACGGTTCAGTTCATAATAAGTAGTTACTTTTTCCGTTTTACGAGTGTGGAAATAGACATTCAAAGGAATGGTCCTGTTCTTCCGTGAGGCCTGGTTGTGTTGTCAGATATGTTGACTACCTATGTTTCTTTCCGTGGGTTTCTTCCTTCTTACAACCAAAAAGAGACCAAGCATCTAATCTTTTCTCCTTCCCTCCCTCCCTCCTTCCTTCTGTCCTTCCTGCCTTCCTTCCTTCCTTCTTCCTGAGAGAGAAAGAGCACGTGCATAAGCAGGGAATGGGGAGAGAGAGGAGAGAGAATCCCAGGCAGGCTCCACACTGTCAGCACAGAGCATGATGCGGGGTTCAAACTCATGAACTGTGAGATCATGACCTGAGCCAAAATCAAGAATCAGACGCTTAACTGACTGAGCTACCAGGAGCCCTGCATCTAATCTTTGCTAAAGGTATTTTTTTCTAAGAGTCAGTAGCATCTTTTCTTTGGATGGTGCTAGTGAAACTCTGACATTTCCCCCTGCCCCCTTATTTTCTCACCTTTATACCTTCACCTTTCTTGTGCTATTTTATAATTAGATGAGACCATAGGGGTGATAATGTAATTGATTAGTTCCACTTTCTTTACATCACAGAACAGGAACCATGACATAGCCAGGTTTACCGGTTCAGGAGCAAAGCTGGGAATGGAAGGTTGTTCAGCATACAACAAACTCTAGGTAGCATTATCTTATTTTCCTCTCACCAGAAGCCATGTTATTCTCCATCTGAAGGCTGTGAGCACTATAACTCAATCTTTTGTACTTCATGGCTTCTGCGTACTCACGCCTTCTGCTTCATGTCATCTATTCTCTCTGTCTTACCAACTTCAGTCAAATTGTTATTTCTTTCTGCCTTGAGTTCAAATCTCACTTAGAGAGGATCTGATCTGGTTCAGCTGGCTAAGCATCCCTTTAGGTTACAGGCCAGCTTATGGTCTAATCATGGATGTTGCTCCAGTACAATGGAAAGAGTTCTTTCATCTATCATGCCTTGAGGGAAGTGTTCTTTGTGAATATACAATGGCTTTTCTTCTAATATTGTGTTTGTCTCTTCTATAAAGCAGTCTAGTGTTACTGTTAACATTCAAGTTCTGGATTAAGAGTGGGTTTCGCGGTGTCTGTGTGGCTCAGCTGCTTTCTGCCCAGGTCATGAGCTCATGGTTCGTGAGTTTGAGTCCCACATCTGCACTGTTAGTGCAGAGCCTGGTTGGCATTCTCTTTCTTTCTCTCTCCCTCTCAAAATAAATAAATAAAAACTTAAAAAATGTTTAATTAAAAAAAAGAGTGTCTGGTTTTTAAACTCTATTTCTACCACTTATGAACTATAACCAACTTGGGGAAATTTACTTCACTTCCCTGTGCCTCAATTTCCTCATCCATAAAATGAGGATGAAAATATAGTCCCTACCTCATAGAGCTATGAGGATTCAAAGTTAAGGGGTATGAACACTTAGCACAGTGCATGCATATACATATAGTAAGTGCCTGGTAAGTATTAGTGACTTCTAATTGATTGAATATTTTTGCTGGGGTTCTTTTGCTAAGGATATCTCTAATTGTAAATTTACAAATGAGCATTTTAGATACATACTCTGTGACCTATTAAGTAGCATGATTAATTAAGGCTGTTATTTCCTGATGAAATTCATTCACCAATTTTACAAGTGTTTATAAATACAGTCATTGGGAATATATGATAATGAGACAGAGTCTCTGCCTGTGATCTACTTAGGGAGATAGGCACCTCAATAATAATAAATCAACCTGAAAATGGTGGCACAGAGAAACAGAGAAAGTGTTCAACTTGTCCTAGGCAGGGGCAGAAGCAAGTCAAAGGAGATTCCAGTTTGGAGGAGATACTTGACTAGCCCTAAAAAAAGAAAAGGGTGTGGGAAAGCATTTCTGGAAGAGGTTAACAGCAGAGATAAGAGATACTATGATGCTTTCAAGCAGACTGTACGTTGTGCAGTGGATCTTTTTTATCCTAAAGGCAATGGGGAGGGGGTCCTTGGGGGATGTTCTTTTGTTTTAAAATTTACCTTTATTGTTTTCTTCTTTTGATAAAAGTCATACATGCACATGATGAAAAGACAAGTAACACACTAGAGAGGTATATGCATGGAAACTGAAGATTTCTGATAACTCCTTCCCTTGTCCCCTGAAATAATTACTACTACAAAGAGTTTGGAGTATATTTCTCTATGTTTCTTTCTCTCTATGCACATAGTAATAAATATATGGTGATTATTATTATAATAGGGAGAAGAATATCTTGTGTGTGCTTTTTATGTATCTTCTAATGATTTGTACTAAAGTTTTTCAGCAGGATATTAAGTTTGAAGGGAAAACTGGGAGGAGGGGGCACCAAGGCTGGAAAATCTCTGCCTTAATAGATAAAGTTGAGTTTCTGGACTTATAAATACTCTTCAAGGCCAGCTAAGTCCCATGCTCTCTATGAAGTATTTTTCTGATCATCTGAGATCACAATGCTAGCTCTCCCTCCTAAAACTTATCCGCCTCCCCTTCACATGTTGTGTATAACTTACTATTGAATTTAGCACATTCACATTGCAATGGAATCATCTGTTTACCTGTCTTTTCCACTCACACATGAAATTCTTCATGGCAATGCCTTTAAACAAAATCTTATATACCTAGTGCCTAGCATACGGTAAGGTTCAGTGAACGTTTGATGAAGGCAAATAACTTTGGTTTTGTTCAGCGCAACTGGCAGAAATGTGTATCAGGCTGCATAGGAGCACATGTACCCCAATGTTCATAGCAGCACTCTCAACAATAGCCAAAACATGGAAAGAGCCTAAGTGTCCATCAACGGACGAATGGATCAAGAAGATGTGGTTTATCTATACCATGGAATACTACATGGCAATGAGAAACAATGAAATCTGGCCATGTGTAGCAACATGGATGGACCTTGAGGGTGTTATGCTGAGCGAAATAAGTCAGGCAGAGAAGGACAAATATCATATGTTTGCACATATAGGAGGATTAGGAGGAACTTAACTGAGGACCAAGGGGGAGAAGAAGGGGGGAAATGGTGGGGGAAAGGGAGAGAGGCAAACCATGAGAGACTCTTGAATGCTGACAAAAACTGAGGACTGATGGATGTGGGGGGGAGGGGGGATGGGCACGGAGGAGGGCACTTGTGGGGATGAGCACTGGGTGTTATGTGGAAACTAATTTGACAATAAACTATTTGTAAAAAAAAATGTATCAGGCATTTGGATAAAAAGATTAGAAACAGTTTCCTTATCTGTAAAATGAGGCCTATAATATTTATTTCTCTTTATAAGAATTAGTAAAACAAGTTTAATGCAATGCAGTCTTAAATTCTTCTAAGGATTAAAATGAACTTTGTATTTGAACCTCTTAACATATGTATTCACAGGTTGTTATCATGAAGGTGAGTCAAATACAGGAATAGCCATAAAGGCAGAGGAATTTTCATTCGGCACCTTCAGAGTTTGACAGAAAATGTCATTAATGTATCCTAGGGATAATCTAGGAAGCCTTCGAGGACAAGGATTTAGAAATCTCCTACAGAAATCAAGAAGTCCTGGAGTAGGATCAGAAGCTCAAATAACGACAGTGGTCAGTCAGGCAGTTAGTGAAGTCAAAAATTGGGAATGCTGTCTACACATTAGAACCACCTGGGAAACTTTAATGGCAAAACAATGGCCAGCTCCTCTCCTTAAGTAATCAAAATTTCTAGGACTAGGTTCCCAACATGAGTATGTCTTTCAATTTCTTCAGGTGAGTCTAATGTGCAGCCAGGGGTGAACTGCAATTCTAAACCAAAGAGGGCAAGATAGGTGAACAGGTGTGTCATTTCCCATTTACTACTGTTGATTGTTGCAACAGTATTCGCCACCTTCTTTGCACAAGTGCAGATTTCCATGTGAAATTTCCCAAATTTTAAAATGTTGGCAAGTAATTTATAATGTTAAAACAAAACAAAGAAAGAAGGAAAACAACCAAACACCGCGGGAGTCAAGGAAAACACGGATAGGGGCCCAATTCGGCACCAGTTCATGACCTCCCTTGGGGCAGAAGAAACAAACTTCTACTGAAAGTGGTTAATAACTTGTCCAAGAACGGGCACCAAGTCAGAATGAAAGTTGGGACTAAAACACAGTCCTTTCGAATTTAGTTAATATTCCTTCTTTCTCAGGCAAGGAACACTTGGAGGTGCACATTAAAACATGGGTAAGGAGAACGGGCGTTACAGGCTGAAGGAAGCCCAGAAGCACTGCTTTCAATATCCTACAATCAGCAAAAACCGGCGGTTCCTAAAACATAGGAAAGTAAAAGCAGGATTCCGAGCGAGGACAAACAGTCACGCATGCGCCATCCACAGAGAGCGCTGCGGAGGATGTCCCTCCTGTGCAGGCGATGAATTACGACCTCTGCTGGGTGCGTCACGACTTCTGCCGTAAATGCGATGTTTGGCGCGTGCGCATCTTCTTTCTTTTTCGGATTTTTTACGCTGCCGCTGGTGTAGGAGTGTTCTCAGTTCGCGGCTCCGGCTGTCGCCATGGTGAAGCTGAGCAAAGAGGCCAAGCAGAGGCTTCAGCAGCTCTTTAAGGGCGGCCAATTTGCCATTCGCTGGGGCTTTATTCCTCTCGTGATTTACCTGGGTCAGTAGGAGGAGAACCTGGAAGGAGGCGGGAGGGAAGGGTGTGCGGAGGCCTCGTCTCCATTTTTGGCTTTCTAGGGCGGGAGACAGACCACGCGGTGCACGTTCTTAGATGTTGTCTAGTCAGTGGGGTCGCTCTAACCCTAGTTCAAGTTCTTGTTCTGTCCTTTACTGTTTTTGTTTTAATGGTCTTTAACAAGTTACTTAACCCTTCTCATTCTGTATTTACATCTGTAAAATAGAGGTGACCTACCCTTGAGGATTGTTGGGAGAGTTAGACGACCTGATCTATTTGAAAGCGACCATTCACTCTTTGTCACTAGGTGGGTTTTCGGGGCACATGTCCTCACTTCTGTTAGTGGTCTTAACTGGAGGCCTGTAGACCTTGTGGGTATGCCCTTGACTTGAAGCATGATTATGACAAGAGTTGTTGCTTTCTTAGTTGCACAGTGAAGAGTTTGGATGGTTTTTCTTAGGATCACATTTTATAGGCGAGGAAATGGAGTCAGAAATTTCTTGCTGAAGAACTCACAGCTGTTAAGTGGGGAGCTCTGAACTCAGGTAACAGAGCATCAAGGCCGATACTCTTTTTTTTTTTTTTTAAATGTTTATTTTTGAGAGAGACAGAGTGCGTTTGGGGGAGGGGCAGAGATAGGGAGATATCCAGGCCCAAAGCTATCAGCAGGATAGCAGGAGCTGGAACCCCTGGACCAACTCAGAGATCATGACCTGAGCTGAAGTCCCAGGTTTAACCAACTAAGCCACCCAGGCACCCCTTCAAGGCCCATACTCTTAACCACTGTGCTGTACTGCAGACATTAGTTAAGTGCTTAGGCAAATATTGTCACCTAGGGCTCCACATTGGGACTTCATCCTGTTTCTAGCTCTGGGTAGTTTTTGTTTTGTTTTTATTGAAGTATAGTTGACATACAGTGTTATTTATATTAGTTTCAAGTGTACAACGTGGTGGAAAGGAAAGGGTCTCAGCTCTGTCAGTTGAGCATAAAGTTTGACTTTTTCTGAAACTCAGTTTCACACTTTGAAAACCCTGTGATTTTAACAAGGTGCTGCTTCCTATTTGTTTTTGGTGTCCTGCACTGTTCAAGATAAAGTACATTCACTCTTAGTTTTGACAGAGCCTTTGATTATGTTGGATGTTTTCCAGGTAGCTGTGGCTCCCATTTCCCCATGAAATGTAAGCCCACTGATCAACTTTTCTAGAGTTTAGCAACTTTGTATAGGTGTCAAGGATTAGAATACATAATTATGATAGCCTGCTCTTACAGGCTGTGTTTCCCACCCGCTCCTCTGCTCCACCCCAGCTTTCACTTAATGGTAGAAGGGCCCAGTTTACCTAGTCAAAACTAGGACAAACTCTCCTTTTAGCTAAGAAAGGTATAGGGACTTAGATCCTTCCCCTTTTTTGTGCGACCTCCTTTTTCCATTGATGTGTCTAGGGGGTCCTTTTTTTTTATATCTGTCTTTCGCTCCTCCCTTTTCTGTTTTGTGGTTCCTTTTCTAAAGCCAGAAAGCTGTAGCTGATTGCTACATTCTGTGTATCAAGGGCTTTCCTCTGAAGAGAACGCTCCTTCCGCCCCCCCCCCCCCCCGAGTTTATTTTTCTTTTTGTGCACACTGGATGTATTCTTTTTCTTAGAAGTACCATTATGGCGATTTTTCACCCTACCTTCCATCTCAGGCTGACAGAATGTTAGAGCTATCTCTTTAGTAATTTTTCCTTGTTAATCATTGTCTTTTTCCTTTCGCTGCATAGAGATTTAATTTTATTTATTTTTTTATTACTTTTTTTTTTTTAATTTCTAGGAGAGAGACAGCGTGAGCAGGGGAGGGTCAGAGAGAGAGGGAGTCACAGACTGAAACAGGCTCCAGGCTCTGAGCTGGCAGTCAGCACAGAGCCCGACGCGGGGCTCGAACCCACAAACCGCGAGATCATGACCTAAGCGAAAGTCGGACGCTTAACCGACTAAGCCACCCAGGCGCCCCTAGAGATTTAATTTTATATCCAAGCTAGTTCCCAGGTAGTTTCTTTTTCTTCTCCCCTAGAGCTCTTACTAAAACCTAAAACTGTGGATTGAATTTAGGTTTAAACATAACTTTTAGGGCTTTAGGAAGTACATGGGAATATAGTGCCATAAAATAGAACAGTGACGTGATAAAGAATCTGTATATTTACCAGTAGGAAGATTTTAATCAATTACCTGTTGGAACACAATTCTCCATGGTGTCCTGAATTTTTACAAGTCTTGTGAGCAGAGGTTCTGACCACCTTTGGTTCCATATTATCTTTTTAAGGATGTTTGTGGCATGAACAGCCTTGGAAAACAGTATCTCCTGGTAGAGCAAAGGGGAAACAATGCTCACTGCCCATTACAAAAGATTGTGATTCCCTAACATCAGGGTTCATCTAAAAATAATGATATTCTGACTATAATTATTGCTGGGAGTAATAAACTGCCCTTTGTTTCTAACTCAGGATCTGGTGTCTTCTACCAGCATCTGTGAAACTTGTAGGCTAGTTTGTTGTCTTGAAAATGGGGTAAAATTTCATACCACTCAGTTCTTGATGCTTACTCTAATTTTAATCGGCAAATTAGCATATGTGTTATCCAGTTAAGAAATATATTTGGGGCGCCTGGGTGGCTTAGTCGGTTAAGCGTCCGACTTTCGCTTAGGTCATGATCTCGCGGTTCGTGGGTTTGGGCCCCGCGTCGGGCTCTGTGCTGACTGCCAGCTCGGAGCCTGGAACGTGTTTCGGTCTGTGACTCCCTCTCTCTCTGACCCTCCCCTGCTCACGCTGTCTCTCTCTCTCTCTCTCCTAGAAATAAATAAAACATTAAAAAAAAAAAAAGAAATATATTTTAAATAATAAGAGGTTTATTTGATCATACTTGTAAATAAGAGTGTTGGCTTAATTAGATGGTTAAACAATAACTTGTCCTCCTCTCTTTTTATTTCCAGTCTTTTACTGCTTTGTAAAAAGAGGTTTGTAGGAGATAAAATTGATATCCTCAATTGTTTTTTAAAAAATTGAATTTAAAAAAAGATCTTTAAAAAAAGAATTGAGCCTGGGTGGCCCAGTTGGTTAAGCATCTGACTTCGGCTCAGATCATGACCTCATGGTTTGTAGGTTTGAGCCCTGCATCAGGTTCTGTGCTGACAGCTTAGAGCCTAGAGCCTGCTTCAGAGTGCGTGTCTCCCTCTTTTTCTGCCCCTCCCCCTCTCTTGCACGCACATGTTCTCTTTCTCTCTCAAAAATAAACAAACAGTAAAAAATTTTAAAAAAATTCATTTTGCTCTTTGTGATCTTTTATCCAGTATGATTTGGTAGTTGTATCACCTTTTTTAAAGGTGAAGACTAATAAAGTGCATGCTAAGGGCTTCTGTGCTAATTGTGTATATAATAAGAATAGGTTATTTGTCCTCCCTACTGGTTTGTCCTGGACATAATCTCATACCCTAGTTAAGATTCAGGGCTGTTCTCTAGCTCACAGGTAAATAGATGGTGCTAATAGATACGGATATCATTCTAGCCTACCCTAAGTTGATTTGAAAAGAAAGTCTTGATTATAAATGTTTTGTTTGCTAAAGTTTTAATTGCTATTTATTCTCTTTCTCTCTCCTCCTCCCCCTTATCTCCCAGGATTCAAGAGGGGTGCAGATCCAGGAATGCCTGAACCAACTGTTTTGAGGTACTGCTCTTACAAATAAACATTTCAGGGCAAATGTTCATCTGTTAGTACTGAATCATGAAGAAGCAGAGAGTTGTAGTGGTAGGCTTTGTAAATGGTGCTGTACTAAGTCAGTCAGTTTTGAGCTTTTGGGAAATTGCAGCGGTTTGTAGATCAGTCTAGCTTGTGTTATCAGGTAAGTACTTTCTTTCCCCTTCCTAATTTGCTTGTACTGTACTGTACTGTGTTATAATCATAAAGAAATGTATGTAAAAGAAAAAGAACTAATGTATCATCCTACTGCTTTGAAAGGTGAATAAATTTTTTAATTACCCATACTTCTGTTTTATCTTCATTCAGCCTTTTGTCATTTTAACAAGAATACATAGGATTTTATTTTCTTCACTTAAAATTACAGTCGATATCCATATATTTCTAACTTGATCACTTATCACTTAGGTTTTTCAATTTCAGTAGTTTATATAATGTATAGTGAACATTTTAAGAAAGACAGGTTTTGATTTATTTCCTTATAATAAATTCTCATGGGAGGAATAAGTTGATGTGTATGAACATTTATGGCTCTGAAAATGTAATGTCAAATTTCTATCTTAGAAAGTCTTGCCAGTGTTGGATAAGCACTTGTGAAAACTTCACATACCCACAGTATACATGTTTGTATACTCAAGTGTGTGTGTGTGTGTGTATAAAGGCAGAATCTGGAACAGGCAGGTTTGTTGTAAAAGACTGATAATTTGTGGCATGATGATGACAAGGACCTGTCCAGGTGCTGTGCATTTTCATCTTAACATTCTGTCTTATGGACATTTGTGGATTGCTCTAACAAACTGTTCACTGTCTATTCTAGAACTTCTGTTCTTCAAACTCCTACTCTAAACTACTTTTTTTTTTCTAGAATGGTCAGAAAATAATAGTATTGTCTCTTACAGTCACCTATGATGCATTAGTCACTGTTTCAGGTGGTTTATATACAGTGTCTCTAATTGTCACTTCAGTACTTGAGGGCAGATCACAGAGTCAGTAGGTGGTGGAGTATGTTTATCTACAAAGCCTACACTGTTTCCAGTGGGTCATGTGGGCTCCCCCAGAAAATCTTACCATTTTTCTTAGCACACTACCATCTGATAATGAATTTCCTTCACACCCTCTGCCTTACCAGCCTCTCCTCACAGGAAAAGGTTTTTTCTTCTTATAAGTTTCCACTGTATAAGCCCTCAATTTGTCCATTTCTGCAGTTTTTCTCTTTTTCCGTGGTAAAGTTCTTCAATAAATGATCTTCACTGCTGCTTTTCTTCACTTTGCTCTCCCTTTAACCATTTATGGTTTGGCTTAAAACTGCTTTCAAGTGATTCCCATGAAGTTTCTTTTTTCTTAGCCTCTACATTTTGAACTATAAAATGGGGACTTGAGGTAATGTACCTGCTACTTACTAGCTGATTGAACTCAGACCAGTTATTTTCTTGGAAATATTACCTTAGGAAAAACATCAGAGATGGGACTGCTTGGTCACTCTATGTGAACATTTTCCAGGTACTGGAAATTATCAAATACCTTTTCCCAAGAGGCCATTAACTTTTCTAGGATGAAGTTTCCTCATATTTAAGTTGTGTTTAATATTTAAGTTGTGTTTAATGTTTGCTTCATAAAGTTTCCCTAAGGATTGAAATAAGAATATTGTATATGAAGTATGCTGAGTACTTCGCAAGTAATTTATAAGCAATAAACTGTTAATAGTCATTTTTAATCTTTTCTGTGTCATCTTCTTTATGTCAGCTCTTTCTCCTGTGAGCACTTGGTCTAGCACAAGCTACTGCATGCTAATCCCAGAGTAAACTGTATATTTTTGTGCCTTTGTCCCAGTGCCTGTGTTCCCTTGGCCTGGAGTGTTCTTGCCATCATTTACATTTGATGAAAACCTATGTCTAGAAAAGCCCAGTCTCAAATGTCATCACTTCCTTAAATCTTTACCCCCTTCTCTTAGTTGAGACCTCTCCATTTTTTTGTGTTCCCATAATATTCTTTTGTGTGCATCATTCTCTGTCTTCTATTATGCTCGTTGCTTATTTAAAGTACATCTTGTCCTATAAGTACCTAAAGTAGTTGCCAACAAGAGTTGAATTAATGAAATGACTCTGACCTCTTTGTGGCTTTTTGGATAAGAATTGATGTAGGACTGCATCTTGTGGTAGGATCTGCAAGCTGGGATATAGCATTTTTTGGGCCCCAGGTGATACAGGATCCAGAGATGGGAATAGAACATACTCTTCCGTTGTACTTCTTTCTGGCTTCAGTTATTCCACCAACAGTTGGCCCTTCACAGCTAGTCTGGATGAAGCAACCAGCCCCTGCTTTTTCATTTCTTCACTATGTGTCGTCTTAGTACTCCTCTCTTCTCTGGAGCTGAGTCTTTCATTCTCTTCCATCATTAGGGATGTCTTCTGGTTTCCTTCCAGGGGTATTTGTGATTTAGGTAAGAATTGGTTGAGTGCCTGAGAAGGGTTATTCAGTTAGAGAATTTCATATACTGTGCTGCTTGTGCTGTGGAGGCTGACTAGAGAGGCCTTCCTGGGTTGCCTGTACTGTACCCTGAAAGGAACAGAATTAAATTGGCTAGGATTTTTATTAATGTAAATGTTTTATTATAAAATGTGTTATTCATTAATGTCAAGTTTATATATAAAATCATTTGTTATAATACTTACATAAGTATAGTTCATGATTTACTAGTCTATTTCCCTTGCTAAGTTGTTGGGTTCCTAGGGATTAGGACCATATTTATTTTAGTGTCCTCTTTCACCCAGCTGGTGCATTATACATGGTCAGCAGATGTTGATTGAGAGGACTCTATATTCAAAATGCAGTCCGTTAATGAACACAAAGCAGTAATGAGTAAAACATTATTTAGGCAAAATAAATGAACACTGAGGCTAACTAAGAATCATTGTTCCCATTATCTGTATAAGATTTTCTTTTCTCTCTATTTTGGATGCTCATTACCATAGAGAAGGAGACATTAATAGTTGAAGAGTTTATTTTTATATCTTAACTGTATGCAAAAATACTTGGGGTTTAATGGAAGATTTTAATGTGCTTTTGAAAATTGGGAATAGATGCATGTTGGGTTTTTTCCCCCAGGCAAAGGGAAGTATTTTTTTTTTTAAGAATAGAATGTTCAGGTTTTCATTTTGTAATGTGATTTTATATAACGTGACATATTATTAGAAATCACATTTTAAATCAGCAAGACATAGAAATAAAATACCTCAACAAAAACAAAACCAAAACAAACAAAAAACACCTCTTCCTCCAGAATCCTCTTAAGAAATTGTTTAGGAGTTTGGGCAAGTGGCTGGAATGATTGAGGTAAGAGTTAGTTGAGGCTGAAATGAAGGCTAATAATTGCACCTGAGATGTGTGTGGATTAATGGGTAAGAGCACCTGGGTCACATCCCACTCTACTGCTTAAGTTAGGAACCATCATAAAGCCTTGGTTTCCACGTATTTAAAATAAAGGTCATAATTGGGAGTTGGAAACTTTCCACACAATAGTGACCCATAGAAAACATTCAGTAAATGTTAGTTTCAGCTTTACTGAGATGGTATCTAATGATGCAGTTTTATATTGTGAGTTCATCAGTCCTTCACGTTAATGAAAATCATGAATCATTTATCTTTTGATCAACCTCAACTTCTGTTTTCTTCTTTGTTTATAATAGGTAACTACACTGAAAAGTAACAAAACTGTATTTCCTTAAATATGTATCTCTTTGTTTGATTTTTTTTCTTTTTTTTGGCTCAGTGAGATTGATCCTTGTCTTACAGTGTCTCTGAATTTGATAGTTGAGTAAACAAACATAAATGTATAAAATCTAATTAAACTATGTTCAAGTTTTGTACTTTGGGGTTTAATTTATTTCTCCTCTTCACAAACATTTTAGCTTACTTTGGGGATAAAGGTCATCTGGATTTGGAAGCAATCAATGGACAGGAACAACATGGAAGGTGTGCACTCTGGCTGGGATGACAGCTGGGACATCGTTCAGACATTTCGCCAGTTGATGGCACAGGGCTCTTCTCACATGAATCGGTGGCAGAGTGGAACCTCTACTGACTTATTTATCATAGACTGTATCTAAATAAATGTTTTTAACAATGTTATGTCTTGAGTCCTTTTTGAATTGAACATAATGGACCATTAGGTAAAAGTTTAGACTTTTGTACTTTTTCTAAACAATGAATCTATTTATGTGCCTAGATGCTACCTTGAAAAATAAAACTTTCGAGGCACCTGGAGGGTTTGGTCGGTTGAGTGTCCAACTCTTGATTTTGGCTCAGTTCATGATCCCAGGGTTGTGGGATCGAGCCCTGCGTCTGGTTCCCCATTCAGTGTGGAGTCTGCCTGGGATTCTCTCACTTGTTTCCTCTGCATCTCTCCCCTGCTTGCTCACACTCTTTCACTTTCTCTCTCAAATAAATAGAACTTTCAAGTTAATTCCTGGCCATTCACTTAACCAGTGGATTCCACTTTCCTTTTGAATTGAATTAATAACTCCCTCTGGGATGTTCAAAGGTCGTAAAAATAGAAACAGTTCTCAGTTTGACAGACTGGGCCCCTACTTCTTGCACTCCATTGGAATAAAGCTGTCATGGAAAGAAATAGGGGTTCTGTGGCTCTGTTGGTAGGGAATGCGAGTGGCTCTGGGGAGTTGTGTGTCTGATTTATTTGTCAGTTAAATGAGTCTCAGATTTTCCTCCCTTGTGTTCTGAAACTAGAGCTGGCTGGGCAAGAGCCCATGGATAGTTAAATAGGGAGAGTAGCTTTTTACTAAAGCGGTTAATGGGAATTAGCTTTCAGTTCCAGATTCTGGTTTCCTGGGAACTTTACCTGTATTTGAAGCCTATTTTCATTTAGCAGTTTCCGTAAATCTAACAGAATAGCTCTTTTCTTAGTTTTAAGAATTGTAATTAGTATAGGAAAGTAGGCCTGAAACAAGATAGACCATTTGGGAGGAGCCCTTTGGCTTGAATGTTTTAAGCGTCCAGTGTTTAAGTAGACAATAATGATGAATATAATCTCAGATGACTAGAGCTATCATTCCCTGAAAGTTCTTCCTTATTCCTGATGTAAAACCCTCTTAGCTATTTAAGCCTGTTTCCTCAAGTTTTGTTACCTTTGCCATGGAGACCTAGGAGACTATTATGGAGGTTTATTGCATAAGGAGATTTTAAAGTGGAATTTTTGAGAGCTAAGTGCAAGAAAGTAATTTTTGGCAAGCATTTAATGTTAATTGCTTCAATGTCTCTTTGAAGCTAGACACAATGCTAAAAACTCTCAGCAGGTTTTAAATCCCATAGAATTGCTTAAGAATGTGCCCCACCACCCTGGCTACATTTTAGTGTTGTTCATGAACTTTTGTTTAGTTAGAATTGTGGAGCATGTTTACTTCCCTTTCTCTGTCAAGATTTTCAGAAATTGAGAAAGTGAAACTGTTAGGTGTCCATTTTGATAAAATGCTCATAGGGCTAGCAAACATAACTGGTTTTGTGTTCATTTAGGGTTAACCTGTAGCTGTTTGTAAAAACCCAGCAGGTTTTAAAGTAAGAAATCCAAAGTAGAAAGGGACTATTCCTTGATCTCCCATCTGGGGAAGCTAAGGAACAGAGTTTAAGCACTTGTTCAAAGCACAGGTAAGAGCTAAGACTAGTATATAGTTGGATGTGTGTGTAGGTCTTAATGTGTGCAAGATGTTTACAGTTAAGCTACATTTTATTTTAGGGCTGTGCAATCCAATTCAAGCAGTGGTCTCTTCTATGTTAGACACTAGAGAGTCCTTATAATTATTTCTGACCTTAATGGGCTTAGGCAAAAACACTGAATTGATAGGATCTGGTTTGAGTCCTGGCCCTCCTAGCCCTTGGTGAAGGCACTTAATCTTTAGGCTTCAGTTTCTTCCACAAAATAGGAATAATATTTGTCCCAAGGTGGTTTCTAAATTGGTGGTTCTCATAGCAGATTGGCATCACCTGGAAACTTGTTAGAAGTATAGATTTTCAGGTCTGGAAATGGTGAGGCCTAGCAATCTTCGCAACTTAATTACTTCAACCATTATTCTGAATTGTTAACTTGTTATTTTGAGATCTCCTTAGACTTGCATGCAATGTAAGAAATGTTACAGGAAGATCCCTGTATCCTTATGTAGTTTTCCTCAATAGCAACATGTAAAACTAGAGTGTCAGGGTACTGACACTGATAAATCAATTTTTCTATCACCCCAAGGATGCCTCATCTTGCCTTTATATAGCTTCTCACCCATACCCCACTCCCAAACCCTTGGCAGCTAGTAATCTCTTGTCCATGTCTATAACTTTGTCATTTCAAGAAAAGTAGACAAATGAAACCACACAATAAATACCCTTTTGGGACTGGCTTTTTTCATTCAGCATATTCATTTGTGGAGTCACTTAGGGTGTGTGTGTCCGCTTAATTCCTTTTTATTGCTGGGTAGTGTTCTGTGGTGTGGATGTACATGGAGGATATCTGGTTTCTCAGTTTTTAGCTGTTATGAATAAAGTTGCTACAAACATTTGTGTACAGCGTTTTGTGTGATCAGCGTGTGTTTTAACAAGTCCTCCAGGTGACTGATGCAAGTTAGGCTGGAGAATTCCTGCCCTAGACTTGCCGTAGCCTTCCTCCTCCTACACGTTAAAGCCTGTTTCTTACATAATATCCAGAGTGATCCTTTTAAAAGATCACATCACACCCTCATCAGAACTTTGCAGTGGCTTCCTGTCACTGGGAGTAAAAGTCTGAATTTTTACTTCCCATGACCTTCAAGACTGTAATTTGGCCTTGGATGCCTTTGATCTCTTCATTGCCTAGGACTTGCAGGTTCACTTGCACTCTCACTGTTTTGCTCTCTCCTTGTTTGGGAAGGCCAGGTACATACTTGGTGTCTGATTTGTTCTTCTCTCTCCTGGAACTCTTCTCAGATATCCACATACTTGGCTTCCTCTCTTTAATCTGCCGAAATGTCACCTTGATAAAGTTTGCTTATGTAAAATAGCAAACTCGGCACCTGTCTTGTTTTCCCATCATTCTTTTCCTTACCTTCATCTTAACTTTTTTCAGATAATTTTTAACCCAACTGATTCTGTATGTGTGTATGGAAATAATCTTGACTCTCACTCTTACCTAGAATGTAAATTTCATAAGTGCAGGACTGTATTTTTAGAGGCTAGCACAGGTCCTAGTACATAGTAGATGTTCAATAAGAATGAATGAATAAATTGTAGGGTTGTATGTATTAAGTTTAAAATGTTTTGTGAACTGGAAGCTTTCATAACATGTATCATTGTAAAGGGCCAGTATTTTTCTCTGTGTTAGTCCATAATTGGCAATACAATCCTGGCCAAGGACTTGACATCAAAAGATGTTGGGAGGCAGTAACATGGGAAAGGGAGTGTTTGCTATACTTAGCACTTTTTCCATTGCCACAACAATCCTGTAAAGCAGAGGATTCTCTCCATTTTGCAGAAGAAATGGACTTGGGTTGTTTCTTATTAATCACAGCTTGGATTTAAACCCAGATTTGCTAACGAAAAGCATATGATCTTAGTACTGATACATGCCATATTTAAAAATAAATTCTGAAACTGATGAAATGATACAATGGACAATCACAACTGCAAAATTTCAAGTTCCATAGAGGGCACATCTTTACCCAATATCCAGGACCCTATACACAATAGTACATAGAGTGGCCAAATTCATATCCTAAATTTACCTTATTTGAAATTATTAAGTCGGCTATGATAAACCTTAAACATTTCTTTGTATCTTTCCTTGAAGAGCTACATTTATATTTGAGGTACATTTTACTTACAATAAAAGGAACAGATCTTAAATACATATTTTGATGAGTATTGTCAATTATATATACCTTGTGACTACCACACCAAGATGGAGACCAGGATCTCCTTGAACCTGGGATCCCTAGTGTATCATACGTGATAGGAGCTTAACAAATGATTTTGAATACAATGTGTAAAGGCTTTTTGAGACTGACAGATGAATTGTAGGGAAGTTTGAAATAATGCTCCCTTTACTGTAAGAAGCAAAGATTAAAAGGTAAATAATAATGAGAGCTTTACTCAAAACTGGGATGATGAAAAAGAAAGGTACTACAGCATTTTCTTTCCTGTTGTGTCAAGGACAGTCCAAAAGAGGAAGTAAGGAGAAGGGTATGGAAACAGGGAAAAAGACATTTTTTTTTCCTGAGGAAAACAGACTTGTTCCACTAAGAGCTATGAAAGCTATGAAATGTCAGCAGCTCCCTGATGTTTCCGAATACCTATTGAGGATGAGGCCAGACACTGGAAAGAGCAAAATGAGAACCCCCAGAAAGTTTTTCTAGAAAGTAGAATTTGAAGGCCTCAGAAACTGCCGGGAAAGATGGTCTCTGTGCCTCATGCAATTTCACATTGCTGCAGACGTGTGACCATGGTGGATTTTCCTTTCTCCGTTTTCCTGAATCACAATTTTAATGTGGTTATCTTGCTCCTATGCCACCTTTTTGTATATTGGGTAAGTTGGGGGCAGTTAACTTGTCTTTTAAGTTCTTAAATTGCTGGACAATGGGGAGCCATCTGGAGCAGATGAGAGGTGCACATTTCCCAGAATTCCTGATATTTGACCGGATGCAATGTCCAGATGAGACTTGTGAGTTGTATCCTCAGGAGAGGATTTATTGTGTTTAGTATATGAGAATTAGTATGTATAAATATTTGGTCAGCAAAGTAGACATGTTAGAAAGTGTCTTCAAAAGTCCATTTTTATGTTTCAAATTGTCACATTTAGCTGCTCACTGCAACCAAGCTAAAAGTCTCTCAGACTCCTTGGCAGTTAGTTGTGACTCTAACTAAAATGCGATTATTGAGATGTAAGCAGAAGTGTTGTGTGGTGCTTCTGGGAAGAGTCTTCAGGGAAGTACATTTCTTGAGGTGGACATGAAATGACAGGCTTACGGCTAATCTGGACTAGGAAGATAAAGGCCAGGTCCTAGGAATGGCAGAGTAGTGTGCTGTTAGGAGTCTAGGTCTCTGAAGACTTTTTCTTTTAATAGTTATTTTTGAGAGAGTGTATGTGTATGTGTCCAGGG